AGTAGGCTCCAAATTATTTATTTTCTCATATTCTTCCTATTCAAGTATTTTGTGCTTATATTTTCTTTGCTCTTTTCCCGCATATTTTATTTTATTTCAATTGTGTATACTTAATCCATTATGATCTATTATATTTCATCTCTTTATTCATCAACTATTAATTCCTAATTTACTATTGCTAAGGATTATTTTCTCCTCCCTCTTCCATAACGTTTATTTCCTTATTTTCTCTCTATTATCCGATAAACAGTCTCCACTTGATAATTCCAGCGAGTGACATCTCCATTTATTTCTGTCTCTGTCAACTGATTCTTGCCGCCATACGTGCCGCCCACTAACGTGACATCACCATCTTTGCTTTCAGCCACCTCCAGCTTTCTCCTCCGCTCCCGTCTTCTCAGGGGTCCTGTCGCTGCCGCGTCACTTCTCCGTGCCTCCTGATCTGGTCTTAGCCAAAGATGCAATGTCAACACCTCTGCTTTCAGCCTCCTCCGACTTTCTCCTCTGCTCCCACCCTTCTCTTCCAGGCTCCTGTTGCTTCCGCATCACTTCTCCGTGTCTCTGGATCTGGTCTCGCCGTGCATCGTCACTCCCAAGAAGGATTTAAAGTTGTACATATAAAAAGAAGGGAGAGAAAGAAAAGAAAACCTTTTGCAGTTTCAAGTACATAGGACTGCTTCTATTTCTTTCTCCTGTCCCCCTAGTCAGAATTGATTCTTCTTCATCTCCTATAAACTCCTCTCCTTTCACTAGCCGCTTCTATATTTCAATTGGGTTTCAAACAGAGACCTTCCATTGGCATGGATCACACCCCTCCCTTGGGACCTAGTTTGGGTGAGTTTTTGTTATTATTTAAAGTTACTTAGCTTATGTTCTTGTCCACATGTTAAGGGGTTGTCTTCTTCCGATTCTGTGGAATCAGCTGGGCTCCTCTTGTGCTCAGCGTGACTCAAAGGTCTTGTCAGGGCTCCTAAGGAACTTTCTTGCTTCAGGACACCTAGCTAAGCCCGAGGAATCACCACTCCTCAGGGCTTAAAACTAGAAAGTCCCCTGCCAAACCTCTCTCTTCAGGAGAGAATTTGAGGCATTGGAAACAGCCTAGGGAAAGTTTAGGAACAGAGGGTAGAGGAGCGAGCTCAACTCACTCCCTGTGTTGTTGAGCCCAGATCCAGAAGTTCGGAAATACAATGAACTCTAGAAAGGAGCCTACAGGCGTGTCTCCCCGGGATGCATTTCCCCTGGCCTGGGCCAGGCACTTGGTGAACCAGTGCAGGGGCCGTGGAGCTTCTGGATCTGGGCCTTGCCCTGCTCGTTGGGCACCCTCTTCTCCATGGTGCCGGACCCCATCTGCTTGGCGAGTGGCTGGCCACCTGCACCTGACTGACGTTGGCCTCCTCACCCTCCAACCTGGCAGGGAGCTCTGGTGCGACCTGGCTGAAACTTTGGGGGCTGCTGTGAAGATGGTGGCAGCGGAAGGCAGGGAGCTAGGGCACTGAGACCCCTCTCCGCTGCCTGGCCGGAGCAGGTAGCTCTGCGCTGTGAGGGAAACAGAGGTGGGGCGTAGCAGAGGCAAGTAGGGAAGTGGAAGCCAGGCCTGAGCAAAGGGGGGAAACAGGGTGGCTGGCTGCAGGGCCTTGATGGCAGAGGGCTCAACACTGGAGCAGGAGAAGGGTGGGCACTGAGGCAGGACAATGGTGGTTGTGGGCCTCCCCTTTTGCTGCGAGGGGAGACCAGCATGGCCTGAGGGGGGTGGGCAGGCACGGGCCTTCCTTGAAGCCCCCGCCAAGCGCTGGAGCTGCAGACCCAAGCAGGAAGCAGTTCCTCCCTGCTCAGCTCAGCCCGCAAGAGAAGACAGAGCCACCCCGCAGCAGGATGGAATCCTGGTGGCGGTGGGATGGTCTGCGAAGCCATCTTCCAGGAGGAGGGCTTTCTTTGTGTCTGTGGATGCAGCAATGGGCGTGCTCGTCTGCCTTGATGTGGGAATGGTGGTTCCTTACACAGTGGGCGTGGGAGAGGGGAGAGCTCTGGCTGTGTTTACTGTCGAGCAAGTGCTGGTGAGTGGCTGCCAGTTTTCTATCCTTTTAATTCCTCTCTGGTCTTAGTTTTCTGTGCTTTTAATTGTATTGCGGTCCCAGTTCTCTTTCCTTCTTATGCCACTGTGGTGCCTGTTTTCTTCCCTCTCGCTCTGCTCCCCTCCCCCTTTCTCCCACTCAGCCTCCTTACCCTCCGCCCACTGAAGCGAAGGGGGATTTTGAACTACAGGGAAATTGCTGTTGGTACCGTGGACATAAGCTATTTGTTCCCCTTTCGCTCAGGGGGGAGGTGTTACAGGCAGTGCATGGCTCCAAACTGTCCGGACACTCAGGATTCGTTAAATCCCTTCAACTACTCCAGAGACAGTTTTGGTGGCCACATATGCGCAAGGATTTATCCTCCTTTATTCAGTTGTGCCAAATCTGTGCCATGAGTAAACCCAGGCTGGGGAAAACCCCGAGACTGTTACACCCGCTTCCTAATCCAAGTCGATCCTGGGAAGTCATCTCCATGGATTTTATCATTGACTTGCCATCAAGCAAATCAATGACTGTGGTTTGGGTGGTAGTGAATCTATTTTCTAAGCAAGCACATTTCATTCCATTCGCTTCACTGCCCACGGCTAAAACACTGGCAAAAGCGTTTTTCCTGCGCACAGTGAGGTTGTACATGCTCCCCACCAAGGTGGTCTCCGACCGGGGGACCCAGTTCGTCTCCCGGTTCTGGGGGGAGCTAATGAAACTGATGGGAGTAGAACGAGGCCTTAGCAATGCTTACCATCCAGAAACCGACGGCCAGACAGAAAGAGTTAATCAGACTTTGGAACAATATCTGCGTTGTTTTGTCAACTATCAACAGGACAATTCGAATGACTTGTTGCCCCTAGCCGAATTCTGTTGTAATAATACTTGTCACTTTTCCACAGGGATGTCTTCGTTTAAGGCGTTGTATAGTTATGACAGCCCACCTGTCCCATTTCTGGAAGGGGATACAGACATGGGGCCGGGGGATGTTGCTCAATGGTGTAAACAATTACGGGATTCTTGGCCTCTCCTGTGTAAGACTTTGACAGGTGCCAAAGAAGCTTACAAAGCGCAGGCTGATAAGAGAAGGGTGGAGGGTTGGGCTCTACAGCCTGGTGACTCTGTGTATGTTTCTACTAAAAATATCAAGATGTTACGGCCAAGCCGAAAATTGGGATGGAAATACATTGGGCCGTTTAAGGTTAAAAGGATCATCAATGATGTTGCTGTAGATTTGGACTTGCCAAAAAAATTGAGAAAATTGCATTCTGTATTTCATTTCAGCCTTCTGAAGAGAGGTTCGGGTTCCAGCCCCTGGTGTCCATCGAAACTGGTGCCCCCTCCTATCATGATTGAGGGCGAGGAGCATTATGAAATCTCTAAGATTCTGGACTCTAAAATCAAATGGGGAAAGTTGATGTATTTGGTTGAGTGGGTGGATTTCAGACCCCAGCACCTCAAATGGGTGGAAGTAGGGAATATTCGGGCCCCTGAACTGTTGTGGCAGTTCCATCGCAACTTCCCGGACAAACCGGGAGACCTCCTGGAATGGTCGGGAGAAGCTGATTTTTGAGAGGGCAGTATGTCAGCTACGCTTCCATGGGGGTTGGGGAGCTCGGTCTGTGTCTGGTTAATTGCCACTGCATTCCTTTCTGTGCTTGTTCTGCTTTGCGCCGAAATGCTTATCTATACAGATGTGCAGGAGGGAGTTGTATTGTCTGGGTTTCTCCTAGGTGCCGTGGGAGAGTGTTGGTTCTCAGCTTTAGCTACCTAACGGTCTCCAGGCTTTATCTCGCACACGGGAGGGTGCCTAATTGGCCAGTGCTCTGGGGGGGTGCATTCGAATACCCTATATCCTATTATGCCCATGGGGCAGCCGCCATTCTTAACAGTGCTTATGTTACTGCATCCTATAGCTCTGCAATAAAAGTATTACTATTCCTGAATGCGTGTACTTGGTTGTTGGCTGTGGGTTCTGACAACAGATGATAATTCAGCTTAAATTTAAAGATTTATCTCACCATTTCGGTATAGTTTTCCAAGTTCCAGAGTTTTTATTGAGATGTTTGCTTATGTAACTGTTAATGTTACTTTTAAAATAAATATAATAGTAAGTATTAAAAGTATAGTATTAGAAGCTTTTTTAAAAAATAATGTTTTATTGGTTTTGTCAAAACCGTTTTGACAACAAACAAGGTAAACAGAATAAGAAGCAAAAGGTGGGTGTGGCTGGATGACCACACTTCTGGTAACATGGGGTGTGTGGTCTAATATGCTAATAAACTGTGCTGTCAGGGGTGTGGCCTAATATGCTAATGAGTTTCTGCTGTTTGGTGTGGCTTATTATGTTAATGAGTTCCTGCTACGCTTTTTCTATAAAAGAGCCCTGGGGATATCTAGTTGAAACTTTACCTCCACTCCTTTATGTATGTTTAATAACTATCACCAGTTCTGCAGAATTTTATCACATCATTTTTCTGTGGAAAAGAATGAAAGGGGCTATGTTTCTTCAGAACACTCAACACAGCTTCCTGAGATCAGTGTTTTCTGGGAGGAAAAATCGTGGGGTATTTTACCCCATTAAACCCTGGTGGGTTCCGTTATTTGGGATAAATTTTTTACCTCAATTGCAAAACTCAATCATTTCCTCATAGGACTGATTTATGCCCCTAGTTGTTTTTGATTATAAAAAGAAAACCACACCATACGCTATTGTACTTTGGCATGGTTACTTATTAAGGTACAAATGACTATGTCCTAAATTGGGGGGAGGGGGATGTAAGGCTTCTTCTGTACGCATTCTGCTGACACAATAGAATTAGGGAAGAATTCTACCCTCAAACCCAGTGAAAGGTTGTACATAGGCTGTGAAGGGAGAGTCTTGCGAGTAAAGGTTGGTCTGAATTCACTGAAATCTGTCTTGTATTTTTCTCTGGTCCCTAGAAAAGCAAAATGGCTCAAGAAACCAACCATAGCCAAGTGCCTATGCTTTGTTCCACTGGATGTGGATTTTATGGCAACCCCCGTACAAATGGCATGTGTTCGGTATGCTACAAAGAGCATCTTCAACGGCAGAATGGTAGTAATGATAGAATTAGCCCCTCAGGTAAGCATAAATTGTAAATGATATCTGGCTTGGCTCCCTCTTTCTAGGTATGCCAGGCTTCGCAAAGTGCTTTTTCAACAGCCCCAGTTGTGATTTTTTTCTCAACCCATGTTCATATGCAAAATGTACCAGGCTAATCAACTTTCTTCCTCTTTCTTGTGGCTGCTAATTGTCAAGAGAGAGAGGGAGAGGCTATAAGGATGACTAATTGTGTGGGGCCTGTAGTACCTCCATACAAATTATGATTCAACTTTAAATATTGTTAACACATTTTTTGTCAGTATAATTATAGCAAGTGTCATTCTTGCAGCAGGTGTTTATTTTTGGTAAAGTATAATCTGCTGTATGTGTCCATTGCTGGTGGTAAAAAAGAAATACACAATCAGCAAAGGCTTCGACCAGTGGCTGGAATAGGGAAGCATATATAAATTGTGAGCAAGGAGTGGGGGGGACAAAAGATGGCCTGAAAGGAGGTGTTGCAGAACCAAGTGATAAGTGTACATTCCATTATGCCCCTCCCTCCACGCTCTATCTGAAAAATGATAGGGATGCCATGAGAAGCGACAAAAAAACTCTGTGCATGGACACTTTTTGTTGTTTTGGTGTTGTGTGTGCCCTCTTTGTCACTTCAATTTTAGATGAAAGCTCCAGTCAGCAAGGCAGCTGTGCTCATAGTTGCATTGAATTAGAGCTTGATCAGACTGCGAAAGTTTGCAGCATGCTTCTTACACAGTGGAGGAGAGAGGACCAAGGGGCACACACGAGTGCAGCAAGAACTGTTTTTGTCAGCAGTTGAGGTTTAGTCAAAACTGAATGCAGCCTAGCTCTTCGTGGGGGCAAGCATCCCTGTTGAGTACTACTTTCTACAGAGGTGCTTGCAAACAAACATACAAGCATATTATTCTTCCCTTGTAGCTTTCTTCATGCCTGGAGGAAAAATGATGGCCAAGAAGGATTGGAAATGCTTAAGAGATGGGTCCTTTGTGTTCTGTGTACCTATATAGGGAAGAAATGCAGGTTCTTCGCTACTGCTTGCCAGTCTCTCTCTCTCCCCCCCCCCAGTATGTTGCTCTGGAAGCAGTTTCAGAAGAATTGGGGGGTGGGGGGTGGACCCAAATTCAGCTGGGTTGAGACGCAACTCAAAATAGGGTAAGGTTGTTTAAACTGGAATTTTGTAATCTTCAATTCAAGCTTCATCAGCATCACAAATCTGAAAAGCACAGCTTGTAGCAGTCCCCACTGAAATGCTGATCTCCCAAATGAATCCGGTTGCCAAGTATAAAAATGTCCCTTGATGGGGCAGATTGAGAAGGCAAAAACAGCCTGGGCAAATGGCTGCATTTCCTCCTTGACCATGCTCCCAAAGGCCTGGTGGCAAGGACTTCTATGGCCATCCTGGAAGGCAGCCCTCGTGGAGGGGATAGCAGCTTCAAGCCATTGACCCACTGGTGCCAGTCCACCCCTGTCCCTCATTTGGGCATGTATAAAACTTGCCTTGTGCTGCAGCTTTTCCCTGAAGTGATAGCTAGCCATCCAGAAGGAGGCCTGTGCTCTTACTTGATTTCCTCCCTTTCCTTGTATAGCTAAAGTTACACCATTTTACTAACCTTACTTCTATGGTGGTTAGGTGGGTATCCTCCTTTCTGCTGTCCAGACAAATACTGGATATGTACTTGAGATCTGCTCAAAACATGATCTCAGTCCTTAAAACTGCTTTGTTGGGTACACTAGCAGGGGGATAGATCCAACTATTATGTTTTTGCCTTCTCAGTCTGCCCCATCGAGGGACATTTTTATACTTGGCAACTGGATTCATTAGGGAAATCAGCATTTCAGTGGGGACTGCTACAAGCTGTGCCTTTCAGATTTCTGATGCTGATAAAGCTTGAATTGAGAGAGATTCCAAAATTCCAAAAATAGCCAGTTTGGTGTAGTGGAAGAACTGGCTTTGATTCCCCACTCCTCCACATGCAGCTGCTGGTGTGACCTTGGGTCAGTCATAAGTTTTTTCAGAGCTATTCTCTCAAGGGCAATTCTCAAGAGAGCTCTCTCAGCCCCACCTACCTCACAGGGTGTCTGTTGTGGGGAGAGGAAGGGAAAGGGGTTGTAAGCTGCTCTGAGACTCCTTTGGGTAGTATAAATTCAATCTTCTCTTCTTCAAAGAACCATTCTTCAAGCTTAAGGTGCCTTCCTCCAACATAGGTGGCTCTTCCTCTAATGGAAGAGCTGTTTAATTTGAAAGAAGGCATCAAACCTGAGCCAAAAGAAAAGGTGGGATATAAATATTTTCACAAATAAGTAAACTTTGTTCAATGGAGTGGTGGGATAGGAATAAGATCCACCCCAATATTGCTTCAGCAGAGGGGACACTATAAGCTGATAGAGTGGTATGTCTAATGCCCCCTGCAAATTCTTAGGAGAGGTGAGGTTAATTCTGCCAAATGGAGCATAACTTTGGGGCATAACTGTCTTGACCTGTAATCGTGCCACATGTGTTTGGTGCAAACTCAGCTCATGTAAGCAACTGAATAAAAATTGGGATACTATTCTCTGGGCACTCTGAGGATTGACTGTAGTGCTGTGTTACATTCTCATAATTGCCTATGCCAGTCGTCATTTAGGTTGTTCAGTGCAGCTTGCCATTGAGCAGTTTTTTAACAATGAATGAACATACTTATGGAGCGAGGAAAGGAGTGTCTCTCCACTCTGGCTGTTCACATTCAAAACATTTTCATGCAGTGGATTCCTGATGCATGTCCCCAAACTGTAACAGTGACCTTGTGTCACCATTCATTAATAAAATGTGTGTTTTTTCTGACAGTGATCCACTGGCATTGAATGGGAATGTATAAAGAAGGTATAAAAGCTGTTGAGGAAGCTACACTGGAGAGGAGAGTTGTACCTCCAGACAGGAGCTTTATATATATTTTTAAATACATTTTGTTGCACTTGAATTTTTCTTAAACTTAACTTGTATCCTAGAAGCCCCTTGGTAGTTAAAAAGTGAATGTCCCAGGTTCTCGTTTTCTAACAGAAGAACACAGACTTGATTGGTTGGTAAAGCAGGGCTGGCTCATGTGTTTGTTTTTGAAGTCTGAGAAAGATCTCCGATCCATGGGGCACAGGATCAAGCCCTACCATGAACATCATCTTAGCACAGCCAAATACTACCTTAACACTGGTGCTTCTTCTTTCAGCCACTTCTGTTAATAGTCTCCCCGAGTCTTTACCTGTTCAGTGCACTGAAGGCAGCATCCAGGAAGCTCCATCAACACTAGACTCTACACCTGTACCACTTATGCAGTCAAGGTAAAATTTACTGATGCCACGGAGTTTAAAAAGCTGTATTACTGTTGCTTCTCACTTTCCAGTATGGCCTTGGGATTCTGCATTTTGAGGTGGAGTGGTAATTGCATGGAGCCATGCCGTTGCCCTGTCAGATTGCTATTTGCATCTTGCTGGCAAGATCTTGGCATTGCTAATGTGAGTAAAGGCTGAATAAATCAGAAGCAACCAGTCCTTCCATCCTTCCTGGGGTGTTCTTTTAAGGAAATCTTGGCTGGTGGATTTATTAACTCAGGGGTGGTGGTGTATAATCTTTGTTGTGGTCTCTATGCATCACACCTATGGGTTAGGCGCCTGCACTGACTCCAATTCGGGAAACTTCTATCAAGCTCAAAAGGATTTGGAGCCCCGCATCCGAACATGCGCAGAGACTCCAACCACGCATGCCCAGAGGGCGGTGCCCCGGTATCCCACCAGTTCTCTTCTGACCGCTGCGCTGATCACTCGATCTGCTTCAGTCTGGGAACTTTTTGCTGTTAGGGATAGTTTTTTCTTTCTCTAGTCCTTTAATTTCTTCTTTTCTTGCTCATTCACTTCTATCTCTACCTAAAAAAGAGAGAGAGAGAGAGAGAGAGAGAGAGAGAGGATTATTTTCTTTTGTTTATTCCCCCCCCCCCCGACTATGGTCGGATCCACCCCTTTTTTCCTTTTCTACCGCTTTGCCTTCCTTCTATGGCAAATTGGTGGGGAGTTTTCAAGCACTGAACCGAGTGCAGTTCGAAGCTAGCCACTCTTTCTGCTTGCTCTGCCTGGGCGAGACGCATAGAAGGGACTCCAGTGTCCTCTGCACCACGTTTTCCAATCAGATGCAGAAGAATAGGGCTGCCAGACTCAAGCGGCTCTCCTGGAATCTGCGCTGCGACCTGGGGCGATGGCTTTTATCCCGACAGAGGTAACACCAAAATTGACATCAGAGGATCGATCTTGACTGACACCGACAGATGGGCACCGATTGACACCGAAGAAACAGCATCAGATATGTTAGACACCGTCTCCTCCACTGTTGGGCTGTCAGGATCGAAGCTGTCAACATCGGCCACCCTTTCGGTATCCTCAATGCTAGCTTTGAAGAAGGAGGCGGCAAAGGGCCATACTAAGGTGAAGCACAAGTACCTGAAGACTGCCTCAAAGCGCACGACGGTGACTGTGGCACAGAGCTCTAATGTGCAGGCCGATATTCCCCTGCCTCGCTCTATCTTGCCAGATTTATCAACGATTCTGCTGATACAACCTGTTACACTACTGGATTCACTGATTCGACAGCCGATACTGATTCGACAATGATACTGAGAGATCTCTCCTTTTCAGGATCGGAAGTGGAGGAGATACCTTCCCACCAGTTACCATCCTGTCAGAACTCCAGATCCTCATTCTCTGAACGGTCTCGCTCCCAGTCACCCATCGATACTGGTCATCAACACCAACACAGGTCTAGGTGCAGGCAGACTCACTCTTCCTCCCACTGCATCAGCCCTTCTCCACAATCCCGTGACCACTCGCCTCGCAATGTATTTTTTTATTTATTTACCTTTCAATTTATATACCGCTCGAACCCCAAAGGGTCTCTGAGCGGTTTACATACGATTTTTAAATTCCTACCCAGGGCCACATTAACTGGGGGGAAGTGTTTTGCCTACCAGCACCCAGGCAGCTCTTGTTGGCTCTTTCCAGCGGGCTTCAGGTGTTCTTCTTGGTGGTTGACCGCCTGGCGTTTTGGGGCGGCTCTTGCTTCCTCTTTTTTTGGGACGGGTCTTGCTTCCAGCGACTTCTTCTGGCGGGCTTTTATCCTGGGGCGCGGCCACGCGCCAGCCACCGCTCCGGCTATGTCCTTGCTGGCTCCACCGCGCCGCACCGTCACGCCCCCGTGCCTCCACGACTCCGCCTCCACCCAGTCTCCGTCGCTCAACGTCACTAGGTCGCCAGGGCTGCTTGCCGATCGCTCCGCCGCTTCGCTCGCCAACCGCGCCATTGTTCCGCCGCCTCTGCACACCCCACAAGGAGGAAGGTGCCCCCTGCCACCTAGGGCAGGTACCCAATTTATCTACTCGTATTGTACTTATTGCGCTTTCGAACCGCTGGGTGGGCAGGAGCACTGATGCTAGTTTTCAACATTATACAACTGGACACTTCAACAGCGGTTGCCCTCCCCATGACACAGGTCCTACTTCAGGCAGTTATAACCCACTGGGACAAGCCTGTGTCGACCCCAGTTTCTACCAGGTTGGACCACATGTACAAGATCCAGGAGACAGGAGCAGAATTCCTCTGCTCCCACCCGAAACCTATGGGGGTCACCCTTTCTAGTAAGAGCAGAAAGATGCATTCTACACCATCTGACAAGGAGACCAAAAAGATGGATGCATTTCAGAGGCGGTTTTATTCCACAGGCATCCTGGGTGTCAAGATGACAAATTATATTGCATGTATGGGTCACTACGAATATTCTCTGTGGGAGCAAATGTCACCCCTCCTGGCACTTCTCCCTGTGCAACATCATGATGAGGCCAGGAGAAGACAGAAGGAAGGCATGATATTTGCTAATTCTGTTTGGATACCAGCTCCAAAACCATGTAATCCACTGTGGCCCTCCACCGTCACTCCTGGCTTCAGACTGACCATTTGATGGGCAGGGTCTCTTTCACTCCACCACTGACTCAGTCCTGCAGGAGATGGACAAGAGTCTCAAAGCATCCAGAAGTTTGGGTGTCTCCCCCTTGTACCTGTCTAAGACCTGGTCCAGGAACAACAGGAGACCATATAGCAGACTCCAGACTTTGTCCAGTTCCACCTATTCTCAGAAGCCCAGGTTCCATCAGGGCCCTCACCAAAACAAGCTCAAGACGATGAAGAATGCCAAACAGGGTCTTTAACTCCCACATCAGCCATCAGCCACTGACTCCTTCCTCCCATTACTCTGGGCCACCTGGCTTGGCTCCTTCTACCCTGTGTGGAGCCCCATAACATCAGATGCCTGGGTGCTCTCCATCATCACCAAGGGCTATGCAAAGAATGGGTTCAGATGTCCCCCACTTCTGTCTTCGTTCGGACTGCGGCACCGTTGACCCTCTGTCAGGAGGTGTCAAACTGTTATGAGGGTTGGATCTGACGTAAATGAGACCTCATTGGGCTGGGCCATGTGTGACATAAAATGTAATGCCAGTTGGTGGAGATATAAACTTTATAAAGGACACAAACACAATTGAAGATTTTTTTACTTAAAATAAAAAACATGCTTAAAACATTAGCCCTCTTGCAGTATTTTGTTTATTTAACAGTGTCTGATAACTGACACCATTTGTCCTGAATTATTGCATCAAATGTCTATGCACTGCTTGCTCTGAATTATTGCATCAAATGTCTGTGCTGTTGCAATCTTGAGTATGCTATTCAAGTGAGTATCTGTAAGCTGCAAACCTACTTTTGATTTATTGATATTCACTACAGAAATTTCATGCTCAGAGTTCTTAGCCTAGGACCCAGGGGAAAACATGAAATGGCTGGGCATTGCAAGTTTTTGTACATAAATTGCTTCGTGTGCTGGTCAAGAACATGAGAAGGCACCATGACACAGACTGAGGTTATGTGTTTGTCTACAAAACTAGTCTTCCTCAGTGGTCAGCCTACTAAGCCTACTGTCTGGGAAGTCTAAATTCAAAATCCCCAAAGGGAATGTGCTGGGTGAACTTGGTCTGGACACACACTCAGCCTAATCCACCTCACTAGCTTGTTATTCCTCATTTAAATAGTTCACAAGGCTTTCCTACTCAGAAAGATTGGATCATGAGGGCATGAATATAGTGAAAAAAGAAAAGGAACCCAGTTGCACCCAGGAGAGCCACAGTATAACAAGTCCAACAAAACACACACATTGTAGCAAAGCAAAGCAAGCTCTCTCTCCTTCCCTCCCTTCAGGAAGGAGCCTCAGCCAATGCAAGGGGAGAAAGGCTTGCTTTTCTTTGCTGAGCAATTGAGGCAGCCTGGCCAGAAAGAAAACTCTGGCTCCTTCTCTCCCTCCCCCTGAGAGGGGGAGGAGCCTCAGCCAGTGCAGGGAACAGAAGCTTGCCTATCTATCTCTCCTGAGTGATTGAGAGAGTCTGGCAAAGCAAGCTACGACACAGCAGCAGAACTAGAAGAAAAAGCAGGAGACAGCCAATTCCACTGCAGGCCTGATAGAAGCCCTCCAGAGGCCTGATCCAGCCCGCAGGTAACATGTTTGACACCGTTGTTCTACGACTTCTAGAAAAAAGGGCCATAGAGGCTGTTCCCCCTGTGGAGAGGGAGAAGGAGTTTTACTCATGGTATTTCATGGTTCCGAAGAAGGATGGAGGCCTTCGGCCCATTCTAGATCTTAGGGCCCTTAACGAATTCATCATCTACCGCAAGTTCAGAATGATGTCTCTCCAAAACATTCTCCCTCTCCTCGAGCTAGGGGTCTGGATGGCCACCATCGACCTACAAGACGCCTATTTCCACATAATCTTCCCGCCAACGATGTTTCTTCTTTTTGCCATAGGGGAGTCCCACTATCAATATACGGCCCTACTGTTTGGAATTTCAACAGCGCCCAGGGTCTTCACAAAGACTATGTTGGTGATGGCAGCTCACATGAGGCTCCAAGGTGTGGTGATTTTTCCCTACGTTGACGATTGGCTACTGGTAGCGCAGTCCGAAAGGCTCTTATTGAACGATGTTCAGCGGACCCTTACCCTCCTTTGCATCAACCACAAGAAATCATGCCTGACACCCTCCCAACAGGTGAACTTTATAGGAGCAACAACAGATTCTACCATCAGCAGAGCGTTTCTCCCTCTGCAGTGTGTCCATGCTCTGACATCCTTGATGCACTCCCTCCGGGTATCACCCGTAGTTTTCACCCATGACGTTCAGAAGTTGTTAGGACTCATGGCAGCTACGACAAGTGCTTTGCCACTGGCAAAGCTTTGCATGCAGCCCTTACAACTTTG